TGTCCCATGTGAGTACAACTACATTCACAGGACGGTATACGGTATACGACTGTATACCCGGTATAGTACTGTACTGTACTGTACTGTCAAATGGTTGTGCAGAATGCAACAGATACACTGCCAAGAAAGAGCTATGCTTTGTTACACAAAAAAAATATGTGATGCAAATGCCGATACCGGTGCGGATACCAGTGAAAAAAGAAATTAACCATAGAATGAATGCAAAACAAACAGAACGATTGATTGTCAGTGCCAGTGATCAGTGATAAGTGTTATAATAAAGTTAATCTTAATAAGTTGTTATAAGTGATAGTTGCGATAACTACAACATAGGCGGATGACAATAATTGTTCTGATTCAATAATGTATATAATCAATTTATAATTATAATATACTATGATATGATATGATTGGATGAGACTCATATGATATGAAACAATAATTAAAATTAGTTTTTTTATACAACAATAATACTTGCGTGAGGTTTCAATGAGTAAATTGACATCACATCACATCACGTTTGTTGTCTGTCAACCAGTCAACCAACAAAAAAAAGCCGAGTCACAGCAAAGCCTTTTTGTTGTTCACCCATGACATTGTCCAGCGTTGGATCATCACCGGGAATGACGCTGCATCTCCAAGAACTCGTAGCATCTGACTGGTTTCATCAAATTCAAGCTGGAGCCTCCGATCACGATCAACGTGACGCGCCGATTGAAGGAGAGCATTTGATGAACCACCACCATCTTCTTGTTTTCAATCAGTAAATTATATATATATATATAGTGTTAGTTGATGTGGTCAACAAATGAACAAATTAGCGACGGGCAAGATTCTCAAAATCCTTAAGCTAGCTCCAAAAGGGGTGGTCCATTGCTAGTGGTTATGTTTTTGTGTTTGTCTCCAATAGCAAAATATACTTGCATATACTTAGTTATCAGTTATCAGTATCAGTCCCAGGTTCATATCATCATATCATATCAGTGTATGTTTTAAGTTTTTATAAGCAACAAATGACATAGACATGATTCAGATCTGATATGATGTGTGTGCAAAAGTTGAGACACTCAATTGTTGTTGCATGGTTGAGAGTCCGATTCTGATTCCTCGAATCTGAATTGCATATCAATCATTCATTCATTCAACACACATCACAAAACAAACCAGTCATTTTGACATTTTTTTGGGCAACAATCTAATTCAAAGCTCCTTGTTATTGCCATTGCCCCAGGGGTAGGTGCATGGATGTTTACCATAGCCTTTTGTGTATTGTAGGATTGTAGATTTGATGATATGATACAACAAAACCAAACCAAACTATACAGCACTACTTTTCAATGCTTCATCTACAGTCTACAAACTGAAAAGTTAATCAAAATTGATATTGGTCCACAGTGTGACTCGGTATTGTCTGTTCACTCCGTCCACTCTCCTTTATTTTATATACTCAAGTGACTCAAGTCAAGTCCCCCTTCTCCTCCACCTACCTTGCCCCAACAACGAGGAAGGTTCAGAGTTCAGAGTCACCGAGTTGCTTGCAGACTTGATGTGAGTCACTGATCGCCGTCTTCAGGGAATCGGCCTGCTTGTCCAAGAAAGTATTTGCCAAAGCGTTCCGAGCCTGACAGATGAGTGAGTATCAACTCTTGACTCTTGAGCACTACCACTGCCACCCACAAAAACATACAAATTACAATCTGGCTCAAACTGAACTATTCCAACTAGCTGGTTTTGTAATCGCATTGGATCAGTATCATCATTGGGAATCATCGGGCCAATGGGCCTACATAGCCGATCACCGATTGAATGAAAAGGGACCATTTGGCCATTTGGTGACAAGAAGCATCTCATATGACTCGTGACTCATAACTCATGACTCTGACTGTCCTTCTGGATGTGTGTGGAACTCCCTCGGAACCAGTATGATGTAGAAGACGTCGAGAACTGTACAGGACTGTTGCTCTGGTTGAATGAGCTCTCTTGCGCAGAGTGTCCAAACCTTAGACATCGTCGATAGGTTGTGGAGAACTACCAATGTCAAATACACTCTGAGTCTCATGAGACATGACTTGACTCATATCAATATTATTCCACCAAAAGTCATGAGTATTGACAGATCGATTTTCAACCAGGCCATCCAAAGACTCCAAAGAAATAGATTCCTGTGTTTGCTTCTGATTTGAAGAAAATATAACCATTTTGCATCTCAATCTCAAGACCCACTGCTTCACATAGTCTCATAGTTGCCGTTAAACAAGCAGAACATAACCAATTAGTAATCATCACACATACACCTGCATAGCCGCATAGCCTAGCCTGCTACATATGAATAATAGCCATGGGCCATAGCCTATAGCCTACTGATACCGATGCCGATGCCACCGCTTGAAACCAACGCAACGCTTCATGACAATGGGTCACCCATGGTCATGGTCCATGGCCCATTGTTTTTTAGTGACTAGACTAAACTATGCCTAGACTATGACTATGACTCGACTAGACTATACTATAGACTATAGACTATACAGATACAGTACATACTATAGACTATAGACTATAGAAGTCTAAGTAGAATGTTAAAGAATGTCAATGTGATCAGTGATTAGTGATTAGTGATTACAGCAATCATTGAGTCAGTCTATCAAATAATAGTTGTTGTTTGTTCGGGTCGGAGTCGTATAGTCGTCTAGCAGTCTAGTCATCATAGTCTAGTAGTCTAGTCATAGTCAGAGTCATTTTAGACTCATGGACTCATGGTCCCATGAAGTTACCATCATGTTACGTTTGTTTTGGTCGATGGCCCATGGCCGAGTCACGCCACCTTCAGTAAACCATGTGGTGTCCAGCACTTGTAGCGCCCCCGTCCCCTGACCGCTGCCTTTCTAGAATCCTGAGATGTGGCAGTGCAACCAAGCCAATATCAAATCATATCGTCAAATTTCAATTTAGTAGCCTTTTGTTACTGATTCTGGAACAAAAACAATTTATTCTGTGTCTGTGATTCACATCACTGGCTGCTCCAATCATATAAGAACACATAGATTACTGAATAGTGTGATGTGATTTTAGTGATGCTGCCTGCTCCCTGCTACCCCTGTATAAACCGAAATCCAAGCATCGCCCACAACGTCTTTGTTGCGGATAGCAGTTCTGTTGACAGCTGTCTCTAAACTGCTGTCAGAGGCCTTCCGTCTCCAGAAATGGATCTTCTTGTGCGCCCTGACATACTCGAGCAATGCCTTGGCTGCTGGCTGGCTATTAAAGGTGGCTATTAAATATTTCTATGACTATTACTACTACTGACTCCCTGATTCATTTTCCACTGGCAATGAACCCACACATTTTTTTAAATGAGCCTGAAACCTACTAATGTGTAAGCTTGTACATATTACATTTACAGTGACATGTTTGAAGTCATTCTTGCACTCATTCATTGATTCATTCTGACTCATTATTCATTATGAACTGATGTAGTTAATCATTAGCTTATCAATAAACCGCAATAAGAATAGGCGATCGATTAGCTCAAAGAAAACAACTAAGGTGGTTAGTTGTTCACATGACCCCTGTTGTGTGTTCGTCTGTGTTAGTTAGTCTTAGTCTTAGTCTTAGTCTTAGTAGTTCTGCTGTGGCTATATGATTATCAAAACTTGACTGTCAATTATCATCATAGCTGTCACTGTGATTCAATTATATATCCACTGCTTGACTATATGAAAAAAATTCAAGGCGCAGAGCTCCTTCGCTGGAAGCGTTTGCGCAGTCCAAGTGCTGGAGCACAACCGCCGCTACCACCATCATCCTCAGAATCACACGATTCACAAGTTCACACAATTCACCAATCACAAAGAGTCTTGTATGTACGGGCTGACTGCTTATGTTTTGTCACTCACGTAAACAAACGTTTGTAAATGTAACTTTATGCGATGTCACTGTCATGAGTCTGAGTCATGACTCATGACATAATGTTTTGATGTCATCCTGAGTCATCCTGATGGGATTTGGATAATGCAATGGCAACTGCTGACGATGTGATCAGCGAACGGGATGGACATAGGCCATGGGTTTGAGTCATGTACATGGAGCTATAGTCATAGTAGGCTAGGTTAATCAAAAATAATTCAGTCACTGACAATGTTGATGTTGATCTCATGAAGAAGATTCGCTGGACTGTAGAACGTTTTCACCAAGACCAAGACTCTCCAGAGGAAGGTGCGGCAGCGTGCGCAGCTATCCGTAGTAGCACATCCATGCATGCATGAGATCTGACCGATCTGAAATCCCATCATCCTGTGTGACTCTATACTGTCTATGCTTAATGTTCAACCTGAGCGTAGAGTTTGTTTTGACTATAGACTATAGACTATTGCCATTAACAGTTCCAGTGCAAGTGTGGTCAATTGTCTATCCTCAACTGTGTTGAGCTGCCATCTCATCATGAATCATAATGTGTTGAGCTCTATTCCTTCTACTCCAGATCAACTGTCCAGAATCATGTCATATGTCTTATGTTTGCCAACCGTCTATTGATATAAACATGTGAGTGATGATGACATCAGAGTTTTCATTTGAGCAAACAACAAATCATCACAGTCAGGGCAGGTATACACCGTTTTTTTCTCGGACTGAAGTGAGCATTCATCTTGGATGTGGGTCATAGAGGCATCACCTGGTTCATACACATCTCACATATGTTCAAATATATGTTTGTCATATGTTTGTCATATGTGTGACAAATGCAATATATGAACAAAGATATGTGCATCATATCTTTTACATATGCAAAATATATGTTAAGCATAACGCAGATATGTGGATATGTATGCGTCGTTGCCCGCCGCTCACCTACAGAAACCTTGTTTGCATAGGTCTTGGATTTAGATAATGTATATATGATATTCTTATATATAATATTGTATACATGTAGTACATATACACAAAGAAAGAGAGAGAGAGAGAGAGAGAGAGAGAGAGAAAGAGAGAGGGGGGCTTTCACCATCTCAATCCGTTTGGACCCCGGCCGCTGACCGGAAAGACGCCTCATGCATGCCCATCAAGCCGTAGAGTAGCACCATGGCCTTGATGAGCCCCTTCTGGCGGCAGATGCGCAAGGCGAAGTGGCAGTCCAGCTGAGGATTGCCCTCCTGAGGATTGCAGCGAAGCGGCAGTTGAAGCAGATAGCTCCAGCAGTTGAAGCAAGAGCGAGCGAAAGGCCATGACCAGCTCGGATGCTGCTAGCACAATAGGTATCCTAAATTCGGCCCTGAGATCGTGAATGAACACCATGTGTGCACCCAACAGGGGCGTTCCGGAGTTTCAAGAGACGGATCTCCGGATCTTAGGCCATGGATAGAAAGCCACGTCCAGCAGACAACCATGACCAGCAAATGCATGCTTAGACTTAACATGACTTAACCATGAACCCTGAAAACATGTGATTTGACCAAACGCTCCATTCACAGCCCAACCGGTCCCTCCAAAACCTAGGGATTGGCGAGAAACCCCAAACCCCCTTATGAGTCTCTGGGTGGATCCATTTGGCTCCTTACAACGCTAACTCATCGGCTTTCACCGCCGACGACTAGCGTTGCTTTCGACTAGGCAACGCGCTGACCGGATCAAGGAATCGGTCGACCGTGCGACTCCCTCGTTGAGATGGATACTTTTGGGTACGTAATTCAATGTAGAATCCTCATCCTCATGAATTCATGTGAACCCCCCCAGGCCGAGATTGTTCAATTTTGCCTCTCGAGTCGTTTCTTCGCGACGTCTCTCGCGACGAAAGAAACATCCCTGCCTTTCCCGCCCACCCACCCTCGCCACCCTTCCCTGCTCGCGCTTTCGAACACGCACTCCGAGTCCTGCGCCTGCAAGAAGCGCAACAAGGCCTCCTCTGCGTCTCCGTCCGTGCCTAACGAAGCCAGTGCGGTGCTGCTGGAGTCAAGGCAGACGGCGTGTGACACTGAGAATCTAGTACTGCAACTCCTCAGCTCCCAGTTCCGGTACCCCATCACTCCGCACTCCCTCCAAAAGCACTAGCGCTAGGTGAGATCCAGAAGCACCTCCACAACCCTTGATGGGTGCTGGGAGGCACTGCTGGTTGAGTGGTCTGCCCTGTGCGTTTTGCATGTGGTCTTGAAGTAGTACCGCAGCAAGCTAACACATCCCAGATTTGGGTCCAGGTAGGGCCTATAGGTATAGGGATCCAACTGCGGACATATCCTGTCTGACCCAGTCAGGTCTGTGAGGGAAGAGGTACATCAATGTTTCCAAAGGAGCGACTCCTTTAGACTTGAGACCAGCCTGTTGGCCATGTTCTGCGTCGACGGAATTGGCATGAATTGGATTCATGGCGTCCCACTTGACACGCGAATACATTCATTCATGGAACCTCACTCTGGGCCAAGGAGACATTCTCATGAAGAGCCCTAAAGCCATAAGGGTCTCTGCGAGTAACCCAGGTGGTGCCAAACCAGTTAAGATGGTTTCAGTATACAGTATCAGTATAGGTGACGTACCTATCATAATATATATATATATTATAAAGCATAGGATAGAAAGGTAGGTCTGCACCCTAGATCCACCATCCCACTCCATTTTCTTTCATTTCTCTACGGCAGCTCCGCTTGGCATTTGCCAGGTGGAGGCGGCCGTGAGACCTCTTACACACCTA